CGAATTGACTCTGTCTAACTCCTTCTCCTTGATTATTAATGTGAATTCTTCTAAGGTGTTAAGTTTCCTTGGACCGCCAATGAGCATGAATTTAGACTTCGAGATATTTAGTGTAAGTTTATGCTCGTAGAGCCACTGAGCTAGCCTGTCTAGATCCTGATTCAACATGGTCTGTAGGTCACGGGCTGATTGAGAAGAGCAGTAGATAGCAGTGTCATCAGCGAATAAGGTGACCGTAGTGTTCCGAAGGACCTTGGGTAGATCGTTGATGTAAATGGCAAATAGTAATGGACCGAGAATAGATCCCTGAGGAACACCAACGGAAACCTTCCGCGCAGGAGAAGAGGCTTGACCAATCACAGTCTTCTGGTAACGAGAGGATAGGTAGGAATGGAACCACTCCAGATTCTTGCTGCGTAATCCTAGAGATTTGAGCTTCCCGAGTAAAATGACATGGTCAACGGTGTCGAAGGCCTTCTTCAGATCAATAAAAACTACACCATTTACTAAACCTTTATCCATATTACTTAGCACTTCATCGGTAAACTGCGTTAGAGCTAAAGCGGTAGATCTTGCACGTCTAAAGCCAAACTGGTTCACAGCAAGCAGATTGTTGGAGTCAAGGTAGCCGTAAAGTTGAGAATGAACAGCTCTCTCAATTACTTTACTGACCGTGGGCAGGACAGAAATGGGACGATAGTTATCTTTATCGGACTTATCACCTTCTTTGAAAAGAGCAGTTACTTTCGCACATTTCCAAGATGATGGGAATTGACCCTTCTCAAAAGAGAGGTTTATGATATCCCGCAGAGGTGAAGCAAGTACATTTGCTGCATCACGGAGTAAACGTGCACTAATGCTATCTAGTCCTACCGCTTTATTGGTTTTCACTAGGCGCAGCTGCTTTTCAACAAAGGCTGACGTCACATACTTGAGAGAGAACGATAAGGTAGGAACTGCATCGTACTGAGTCGGTTTTAAACCACGAAAGGCCTTTGCAAGGCTCTTGCCGATGCTTGAAAAGTGATTGTTTAGAGTTTCTGCAATGCCTTTGGGGTCAGTCTGCAATTTTGCATGACCAAAAACTGCATTAATTTCATTGTGGTTAGAGGGAAGTGTCTCTTTAATTGCTTTCCACATCTTGGAGCTGTCACCTTTAGCATCTTCTATCAGCCGACAATAATATTTCGATTTCAGCTTCTTTTCCTCGCTATTCGCACAGTTCCTCAATTTTCGGTACATTTGCCAGTGATACTGCGAGTTCTTACACTTCTGAGCCTGTTTCCAGTGGTAATCTCGATCACTCCGAATTTCGAGGAGTTTGTTCGTAACCCACGGTGTCTTTGTCCCCTTCACACGCTTTGATTTTATCGGAGCGTGGTCGTTTGCAATGCTATTGAAAAGACCTTCCCAGAGGAACACGGCATCATCAACATCATTAGCACTTTCGATTATGCTCCAAGGTAAGTTGCTGAGATCACGCAAGAATGCTTCTTTGTTGTAGCTTTTAAAACAACGATACTCGAGCAACTTTGGTGGAAGTTTCTTTACACCTCCCTTGATAGTACAGAACACAATGCTATGATCGCTGATGCTTGACTGCAGAACATCGGACTGCACGACCCTGTGAGTGTTGTTAACGAACATCAAGTCTATCGTGTTGCTAGAATTCTCAGTGACCCGAGTAGGTTTACAAATAATCTGAGAAAGACTGTGTTGTAATGCAAATTCATCAAGTTTACGGCGTAACTGATTCTTGGTGGAATAATCAATATTAAAGTCACCCACCAAAACAATATCGGAGTTTTCAGTGTCGATGTAATTTAGCGAATCAGCTAGATTTGAAATAAAACCATCGATGTTCCCATCATCAGGTCTGTAAGAACAACACAGTATCATTCGTTTGCATTTAGGTCTCTTGATTTCCACCCACAGACATTCAAAGTTATGCTTTATGAGATCAGACATAACGACAAAGGGGATTCCATCCCGGACGAAAATTAAAACTCCTCCACCACAACTTTTGGTCAAACACTGTCTATCCTTACGCACAAGCGAGTACCCTGGTATCGTGATCTCATTGTCCAAAATATTTGGAGCTAGCCAGGTTTCAGAAAGAGTCAAGATGTCGAAGGAGTGTTTGTGGACGAGTTCCTTTACATGATCGAGTTTGTTTACCAAACGATTAACGTTTAAATGAGCAATCTTGAAACCCCGTAACATGCGAACGTCAGAATGAAAATCGTTATTGTCTGACCGTTGCTGAGTAGTAGTATTGCAATAAGAGTCATCTAAACAGTCTATGCCAGGAAACAGACAAGTAAAACACATCCAGGTAGAAGATTCATTAGTTGCGAGAGAATAATATTCATCAACGCCCATGTTCAAGCATTTAGCATGGTGCCATTTGTCGCAACCGTCACACTGAATAGCTCTTTGGTTTGAGCGACATCCTTTAGAACAAATAGCACACGGATCTTTCACCGGACCGGGGTTGGAGCTCACATCCCCGGCTAAGAGCAGTAAGTACGAGGCAGAAAGACTGACGTTAGCCAAGTAAATCGAAGCTTGAAGTTTCCAAGATGGCGACGAGGCAATACGTGTTGAGCGTCTTGGTAGACCAGAGTTTCGTCCAGGAAAGCTGGCAGAGTTTAAATTAAGGGCCAGAAACAAGTTTCCATCATCAAAAAGCCTTTCGGGTACAGATGAGATGTTTAGAGATGTTGCAAATAACAATACTAGGACAAGAGACGCGCTACACCGAGAGAGCCAACCGATCGCCATTGTGATGGTTTCGTTCCAACCACCGAGTCTTTTTAGCAACAAGAATGAAACCAGTGTTTTGAACTAGATTTACTACACCCTTCCGTCTGCGCCTCGTTTTCTTTTTTCTTACTTACTTTTTTCTTATTTCTCTTTCTTCATATATAAGTTTCTATTAACCCATTAGTTTTTCTTTTCTTGTAAGCACAATGGCACAGATGTAGAACATTTAAAGTCGTCGACGTTAACCTCATTTTGTTACACTTAAATAGCTAGAGCCTGTAATGAAAAATACCAAAATTCTCAAAGTGAAAGTTCGTGAAAGATTCAACTCAGAGCCGCGGTGAAGGTTTTACTCATCCTTATTGCATCTCAAATGCTTGAGAAAATTTAAACTGCGGATCTCTATGGTCCTATCGAAAACTAAAACAAAAGCTGTTTCAAACAAAATTCCACTTTTTCCACTGGTATAAGGATCTCTTGTCTATTCTGATCAGAGGTCCCTGTTCTGATCAATTATTCTTCGGTGTTACTCTGCAAGCTCGATTTGTTTGGAGACGAAAGTTTGAATCGTCGGTAAAAACCAACAAAACTATTTTTTTTCCTTTTGCAGTTTTGCTTTAAGTACGTATTTATTGATAAGTTGAGGTGAAACTCATCTGAAAAATTATTCTCAAAAATCCAAACTATGGAAACGCTCTCGAATCTCTATCCAAACTTAGGAACCGAATGATCTTCCCGCACAAGACCGATTTTGTTACAATAGAATTTCCAAACGCTTCTTTTTCGTGAACTTTGGTGAGCAATGCTCGCCAAAAAAAGAAGAGAAAAAAAATCGACTTTCTTCCCGCTCATGTTTCTTTGAAATGTTCACCCTAGAATTGTATTTCAGAGCCACGATGGGTGTGAATGTTTGATGTTTGCCTAAACGCGACAAGTTAATAAAGAACTTCAACGATTTTCATAGAAAAGTTGCGTGCAGTAATGGCAAGAGATCAGTCAGCTGCAGCTGTAAGAACAGGGCAAAGTGCGAAAATACATTCATAACACAGCGCCCTACCTAGTTCCTTACAATCCACTCTTATACCATTCAGTCAGTACGTGCACTATGTCAATTTAGCAGCCAGCTGATTTCAAACGTTTGCTTATGTCGCCTAAAGCGACAAATATCTTACTTAATTCGTTTAACGATCTGTTTTGTAAGAGGATCTGAACTGGGTTAAGGCCGACTAACGACAAAGGGTGAAAAATATAACTGGCTACCGAAAAAACGCAAAAGAAAATTATCGATTAGCGACAAGTAAGTAAGAGATGACAACTGACATGGTCCAACATTATCGATTTTCTATTCAGAAAGAATAGCATCTGAACCACTTAAATAGATAATTGTAAAATTTCCTGTCATCAAACTAACATTAAGGCAATCGATGAACGCTTTCAAGAACAGAGGCCTGGAGTCCAAAATGTGAAGGAAACATAAATCACGACAAAAAGTGAGAGATGACGAAAGTTTGGCAAAGAGGCTTACAATTGAAGGAGATGAAATAGAGAAAAACGAGCCCTAAGTTTTGAAACTGGCTGAATTAGAAAGATTGAAAATTTAAGCCGACGACAAAGTAATGAAATTCTGGCCGAAAATCTTAGGCACAAATGAACTCCCCCCCTTCCCCACTTGTAATTTTCAAAGACTACAAAATGCACTTGCCCCACAGGCTGTGCAATTTTGTTGTCTTTGAAAAATATACTCGTGCTTATTAAAAAAAAATGCACTCGAAATCATTTTAATACCTAAGCAAATCATATGCGTTACGTTAGTTTAAAAGTGAACTTGCGCGCAGTGCGAGGTTGATTTAAAATCACAAGTATAATTTCAGACCCAAATTGCACGACACGAAATTCAATCACCATTTCATTACACCTCTTTAAAAATCGCAAAATTCAGTCGATCAAATACAGGTTCTTTTAGTCTGTAAAAATATTTCCATTCGAGACAAGTGGGTACGCGTCAATTAGGAGAAAATGAATGAATGAATGAGTGAAAGAAAAATGAATGCGTTAAAAAAAATTGAAAAATCACTTACATCAAGTAAATAGATGATTAATTTTAAGGAACACTTCACTGGTTTTAACCATTCCATGCCTCTTTTTTAATTTGCAAATTTATTTCCAATCATCGTGAAAAAATGCTTTTATTTGTTTTATCCATGAACGCAACTCAACAAACACTATTCTCCCAGCTTTCAAAGCTCTTTTTACCAACCTTGGTGCAACTGGAACACATGGTCCAACAAGTCTGGGTATTAGCTACTCGGGTCACGATCATGACGGACAAGTTACACTGTCCAGCGGTATTCAACAATGGACTGTGCCGTATACTGGTGAATACAGAATAGAAGCAATAGGAGGAGCAGGAGGATACGATTCCCACCCCAACAGCGCTAAGTATCGAGGAAGAGGAGCAAGAATGATTGGAACATTCAGCTTAAGCAAGGGAGAAGTCATTCAGATACTTGTTGGTCAAGAAGGAGGGATTAACAAGCTCTACCCTTCTTCTGGCGGTGCTGGAGGTACATTTGTGGTGAGGGGAGGCAACACACCTTTGATTATAGCCGGAGGTGGAGGAGGAATACAGAATCCAAGTTCAAGACATCCAGGATGTGATGCTAATGCTGGTTCTTCGGGAAATCCTGGGTACAAGTCATGGTCAGGAGGGAGTCATGGAAATGGTTCACAGATTGCTAATGGTGGTTATTCCGGTAAGTGGGTTCTTTTGGTATGTTATCATTAGTCTCAGATTAAAATCTGGTATCCGCATATTAATTAATTCTTTTCAGAAGAAAAGGAAAACTTAAAACTGTCAAAGTCGTGATTCATGGATTATATGAACTGCATGGCAAAAAGGTTACGGATTTATCGTTGTTAAATATTAAATGGTTTTGTTTTCGTTTTTGTCTTGTTATTGTTGTCTCTTTGTTTGCCTATGTACATTTTTTAAGTGAGGATTAAGAGCAATTCTGAAAGAATCAAACATCTTGGAGGTGAAAGTTTCAACCCCCTTTGAATCTTGCATGCAGTTAGGCATTCGGGGGATGTACAAAAACGCCCTTTTCAAAAGACTGCTGCGCTCTTGTTGAATGGTAACAACGGCTGCCCGTTCGAGGCCTGGGGCCTCGTTTTTACACAAAAACATCGCAAAAAAGTGTAAAATGTTTATCTCTCTATCTCAAGCGCAATGCAACCTTACAACTTGGTACTTCTACCATACATTTTGACATCATTTGTCTTTTCTTTGATGCATTAAATTCCTCCCGATAGGGAATGTGAACACATCATTCGATTATTAATCTCGGTACAGTTTCGGTTTTTTTTTTCTGAATAGACGTTTGTCTGAATTTCTCCAAAGTGCACTGATTTTGAAACTAAAAAATAAGCACCTAGTTGGCTACAATATCCTAGTTTATAAGTTGTGTAAAAATATCCAATTGTGTTCTTGCCCAAAGTGGTTCACAGATAAATGCTAATGAAGACTTGCAGCATAGGAGTCGAAAGGTCCTAATTAATACACGATTGATTAACCTATCTCTTTCATGGTGAGACAAACGATCAAAGGTTCATTTATCTTAAATTATTGTTGTTGTTGTTGTTGTTTTGAATAGTGCAAACTAGTCAATGAAGGTTGACGTATGAATGTTACAAGAATATTGACTCAGTTGTTGCGGGAGCAATCTTAGATCGACATATATCTGATTACTAAGTCTGTCTGAGTAATTATCATCGACTTCCAATAAGCTCTGTTGTACAAAAGTATCTCTGTTTTTATCAATCAAATAATGAAAAATTTCAAAAAGTCCACAGCTTCAACGTCTAGAATAAGAACCCACTTAGGACACAACTACTTTTGTTGTTGTTATTATCACTGATAGGTGGCGGCGGCGGAGGTTTCTACTCCAGCGGCAGAAGTTCAAAGCAGTTTGGTGGTACCATGGGAACTGGTGGAGAGGGTGGTAAGGGATTCTTACAGGGAGGGGTGGGAGGTAAAGCCAAGATGAAGAGTGCTGATGGTGGATTTGGTGGAGGAGCAGGTGGTTATGGATGGTCAGGGGGTGCGGGAGGAGGAGGAGGGTACTCTGGAGGAAGCAGTGGCCATAATAGCTGGAATTCTTGTGGAGGCGGTGGAGGATCTTATAATGTTGGTAAATATCAACAAAATGACTGTTGCTATCGATCATATGGTCATGGTCAGGTGATCATAACTTTATTGTAAAGAAATATCATTGATTCACTATCAACCGTTTGCTTGAAAGGTGTACATGGCTGATCCTCGAACAACGTTTGAGTTTTGCTGTCGATCGTTTTTATGCAGAATCCTATCAGTCACGATTCTCGATTTGTTTTTCTTCCTCCTAATTGGTGTATCTGTGTAGCGTTTAATTTTACATTAGCTATAGATAATATAATTTGGATTAATATTGCATGCTAACTTTTTCCTTGTTTTTATTTTATCATAATTTCTTTACTGAATTTTGTAATGAGTGTGCGAGGAGGAAACTGAATTTAAACTCTTCTTTGGTTTGAAAGATTAATAATAACTACATGGTGGATCTGAAATGCTAAAAAGGTAATACTTTTGCATTCTCTTCAGATTTAAAAGGAAGGATATCATTGAGAAAGTTTAATTACTTTTTCCAGTTACTCTTTCATTTGTTTTCATACATTTTTATGCATCCCACAGATTTATGTCAAATCAAGTCAATGAATTTCAGTTTTTGCGTGACTTTGACCGTCGCTTTGGCCTTATGACTTGTTAACTGTACTAAATAAACTCTGGATAATAAACTTTGGCTTTAACTGTTCACGCTGAGGATTAGGATTGCGGACTTTTTCGGTTCAATAAAGAAAGGTGTAATTGTTTATCAATAAGACACAACACTAATAAACATACATATGGTTTGAGAGGGAGGTTTTACATTTGATAATAGGGTTAGTACGTTTTGGTGCATTATCTCATTTATTTTCTTTATTTTGAGGGTTGTCCAATACATTCAAATCCATTCGCGGTTAAGTAGTCTAGCAATACCGGAAATCTGAATACACCGCTCCTCTTGATAACCAGGAGGCAAGATTGAAAATGTTGTCGAATCGACTCTATTCGAGTCGAATCGGACGACTCGCCTCTTCTTAAGTCATACTGTACAGCTGTTTGCCAAAGATTTTAACAATAATTAAGATAGCAATAGAGTGCCGGGATAGGCTCTCAGATGGACTTAGTGATACAAGGGAACCATATGAACCAGTTTTTTGTTTGTTTTTCTTTTGTTCTATTTTGTTCTGTTTTTTTTTATGCGAGACTTTTTTGAAATATCGTAAATATCGAGTAATAAGCTTCTATAATTTTTTTCCATTTAGTGAGAACACTAAAAAGTATCACTGCACGTGATACTTTTAGAAATAAAGTTCAGTTGTGAAATAGCCATTGAATTGTCTCATTGACCGATGTAATTCCTTTGTAGTGCGCCAGCAATGAGGATCGTACAACATCAGTTGCAATTATAAATTTCAATTTGCTATAGAAAATTGAATTCCACTAAATCAGAATCGAAGGAAAAATCTTCCTTTTGGGACTGTGCAAAACATCAGATTTTCGGAAAGGACAAAAAAGCTAGCCTTTGCAATTGTAAGTCAAATTATTTCACATTACTTGTAAAAGCAAAAACCACTAACCGGCTGACTGCTCATAGCAACTTGTTCTTCCATCCCCTACGTAACCAAGGTTACAAGAATAGTTGTATGAACTAATAGTGTTAATGGCTGTTCCTCTAAGGCAAGTGTGAACACTAACTGTGCATTCATATACATCTGTGAAACATAAAAAGAAGACTGGGTTGTTACAGTATTGTATAATCAGCCTTGTATATCAAAACTGCTCGATGCCTTTTCAACTAAAAATAAAAAAGGGACGCTACTGTAGATGATGAAAGTCATATGTCCAAAATGAAGAGCTGACTAAGAAAATATGACAAAAGAGATATAATTGGGCAGATAATCTCCCAGATCAAATTTTTAGTTCTCCTTGCTGCCAACAATACCATTCTTATGATGTTAGTTCAGAGAATTTAGTATTGGATCAACTAATTATCCCCAAATTGATATTTTTCTTTCTTCTCATCCATTATTTGGTTGATATTGTATTGATAGTTGAATCACAGAGGGGTTTTTTAGTTGGCTTGACCGAGTATTTCATATCCACCGTAATCTCATCGTCGCTTCGGATTTGTTTTGTTTAGTTTTTACTTAAATTTTGTCTGTTTGATTATTGATTTTTCTTGTTTTGTTAAAAGTCGTCCTCGGGCCCGTGCCTTCCGGTTACCACGCATTTCTCACCAGGCGATCAACCAGCGCTAGTTCCTTGTTGTCACGCTCTTTCAAAATCCCTCTCTCGTCAAATATTGCGGTGTGCCAGAGAAGCCAAAAAAAATGTTGTGTTTCTCTTGAAGATGCAAACCATGGATTCGCTCGACCGATCTGATCTAGATAATATTTTTTTCAAGTCAATTCACCCAGTAATAAAATCAGAACTTCCTGTTGAGGTAACAATTCGAAGGATTATTAGCCTTCCTCGCCTCAATCTTCTGATTCCAAAACTTTCAACTCTGTTGTAGTCTTGTATGAGAGGTTCACATCTGTCTATAGTGTCATATATAGGTAGCAGTTTATAACGGCGTGAAAATGCACCTGGCTATTACTGCCGTATTAGAATTCTTTATTTTTTTTGTTCCTCACCAAAAAAGGGTGAACCCTCTCGTCCCTTGTCCGATTAACCCTTTAACTCCTATGAGTGACCAAAACAGAACTTCTCCTTACAATATCAACACAGAATCAAGCAGACAAGTTGGGAGAATAAAGAAGAAAACTAAATTAGGGGAGTACAAGTTGATCCAATACCAAATTTTCCAAATTGAAATCATGAGCATTTTATGGCAGACCGTAGGGAGAATTACTAATGAGATCTTGGGAGTTATTGGGTTAAACCCCCTTCCCACTTGTACTCCTGATCGAAGTTCTAAGGTGATTGATCGATATTTTTACGATGTTCTTTTTAACTGGCTGTAAAAGGACTCTTAGTTCGGCCAAAGAACTCTCAGTTGTGGCACGTTTTATGAATGATTAAATAACAGAAGAGTCCTGTAAGTTGTCTGAAGTTGTTAAACGGTATAAAGTTGTAGTTGTTATTTCTAGTACTGAATATTTCGTATTCTCTTTTGTCTCTAATCGTTTCTGTTCAGTCATTTTTTTTAAATATCTTCCCACATCCAGTCTTGAACCCTCGGCCTCCCGCAAGGCAGTTCGGCGACATACAACCCAAAGAGGCGGCAGTTTAACGACACACCACAACAGCGGAAAAAAAGATTGGAAGTTTATATCATTGATACTCTGGATTAATGAAAATGAAAAACTAAGAAATGTTATGTGACGCCTATTCTCAACTTGGCGTTCTAATAGCGAAATAACATAGCCCCAAAATCGAATCATGTATCACGAAATAAACAAATGATTTTCTGTTTCGAGTGCGATGAGCTCATATTCAGCTTTTTTGATACTGCTGGTGTTACCAAGTGCACCGTTTTGTTACACACGTGTGGGGCAAGTCACATTTTCACAGGAGTTAAGGTGAGGACAGAATAAGTTAATAGCGACCCAATGCAAGGAATGAGAAAAACGGGTATTGACTAAAGATACAAATAGAAATAATTTGAAACACGAGTCTAAAGAATGAAAGAAATATCGATCTTATTTACTCATCACGAACGTGGGTGAGAGAATGAATTCACTCGAGGATTCAAATTTTTGACCTTCGGATTTTACGATCTGAAAGTTTGACCTCAGAGCCTTACAGCTCTCGTTAAGGAGCCAAGACATACGCACTGTTTATATACGCACAATGCCAAGATCTGAAATATGGTTAAGTGTCATGTTTGAAATTAGATAAAGAAAGAAAGTGAATTTTGAGCTCCATTGTCGAATGAAAAATATTTAAAAATCTAAATCTGCAGGTCAAGACATAAATTCCTCCAAACAGACCAGATTCTTTTCTCTTTTACACACTCGTGAAAATCGTTCTTTATCCGACGACCGAGAAAAAAAATTAAGCCCCTCTCTTTATCAGTCTAAACTACAAAATTATTTCTCAATGCTGACATATAGATTATCATCATGAAGAGGTCTTAAGGTAGTTTATTTACATACCCATGAAGAATCTATGAAACTACAACATTACCACGAGTTTATCAACTGATATTCTATTGATATTACTGATTCCAATACCATGTGTGCCGTTTGTCTCACATGCACCTCAGTAAATAGACTCAGTTAATAGCCTCAGTTAATGAATTCGAACGCGTCAGAAAATGCTGGGCTTAGAGAAAGAGAGCTAGAGACTCACATTTCTCTTCCACGGTTCCAACCTACGGAAAACTGATTAAAAACATTTAATTCATAAAATTCCTGTAATATGCACTGAGGTTTTCTATGCACAGAGATGCATGGAATTTCCAGGTAGAGAATACTTGTATAACTTCAGCAGATATTTCTCTAGGAAGAGTACATATGGTATTCTGAGTTTAATGTAATCAAAACCCGAAACGATTTGACTCTCTTCTTCGTTAGTTACGACGAGAAGTCGAGTATCCGTCCTGGAAAAGAGCTTTCTTGGAATTTAATGCGGCATTCTTAAGGTGAGGAAAGCTAATGAAATAATGAATAGCATATTGTAATCGAAAGAAGGGGAAAATTGTGAAAAAAATATTCAAGACTACTGTATTATTTATGGCATTTCTTTAAATTTATATCTGCCTCCGCTTATGAACAATGATATGCCACTTGTTCTCATAAAGTAGATTTCAATGCAATATTCAGCCAAAAAAAATTATAATCGTTCAGAACAGAAAAATGTATCTCATAACAGGAAGTATCTTGATGTAAGCAAAATATTTTCTACATGTGAGAGGCAGTTAATGAATGATACATCAGGAAGACGGGTGTCCTTTTAATCTTGTTGGGACTCAACTGCCTGTGAAATCAAATGCAAATCAGGATCTGTTTCTTGGAAGGAAGGAACACATTTTATTGTTTGAAAAATAATCGTATTGGGATGAGATCTATATAGCACCATCATATTTGACTAGAGATTTTTTTCACTTTTGACTGCAAACATCCTAAGTGCAGAATTGGCGGGAAGAAGGAATAGGTTCACAGTTCTTATTTTTA